GGTGACAGCGACGGTGGTGGCGACTCCTTTGGAGGCCAAGCGGTTGCAGAATTGGAGCATAGGGTTGACATGGCCTTGGGTTGGGTATGGAATTACCAATACATGAACCTTTTTTCCTCTCTCCTCCATCTCTCTCTCTCACTCTAAGATTTTTGTGGACTATTAAACAAACTCTCTCCTTTGGCTCTTTTTCATCACATATATATGTGCACCCTGCACTCAAATTAAATTCATGTTCAACGAAATGGGTTTTTTGGGTTGACTACTTTAGTTAACGGTGAAAGCTAACCCTTTTGTTCCAAATTAAAGAATTCGAAATAAATCAAATCTCTCAAAATCGGATTCAAAGTTCAAACCTACTACCAATCCATTAACACCTTATCGCTTTATTATCGAACTACTAATGAACAACAGGAAATTAGGTCTTATAGAATTCAATTCCTATTCCCAACGCCCATGATTAATATGAGTTCGAGGTTTCCTTCGTAATTTTCGAAACTTCTTCGTAGTGGCTCCATTCCATACCTTAGAGAACTTTAAAGTGGCTCTATTTCATTATTTTCCATCTATATCCCAATTCTATTCATTTAATATTCCTTGGTGTCATTGAGATAAGAGAGATGTCGTTTCTAATCTATCTATTTCTATTTCTATATATATGGATGGAAAATTAAAAAATCATCACATAATAATCCAAAAATTACAATAGAAAAAAAAAAGAGGTTTGTGATGATTTTTCAAATCTTTTATACTAGATAATCTAGCCCTTATTAACTTATCTTTCCTTCCCATTTTTCATCCAATCTCCCTCATTTCTCCTCCGTCTCGGTCTCTCTTTTCCAACCTTATTCTTCTGGTCCCTCTTCTCTCTCTTCCCAATATTTCTAAATGATTTGCATATGAAATAGAGGAAAGAAATACAATTTTCCGTTTATGGATTTTCCATAACTTTCTCTCACTCTTCTTCTCCTCCAAAATAAAATTTACAGATTTTAACTTTCTATTTCTCTCTCATCTTCTCTCTCCTCTCCCTAAAAATGAAACTTTCTAGAATTCCAAAACACCCTCTCTATCCGAAAATGAAATATTTTGATTTTTCAAAACTTTTCCTCCCTCTCTCTTCTCTCTCTTCCCAAAATGAAATTTTCTTCCCTCCTTTCCAATTTTCTAGATTTTCTTAATTTTCAACCAAAAAAAGTAACACAAATTTTTTTTTTCTTGGGCTTTAGATTACAAAGAAGATAGATGATTACAAAGAAATACTTACACATCTCGTCCGAAATTGTCCAAAAATTGATCATTCTCTGACGATTGGATTTCAAGGAAAGATAGATAGGTGGGTCTCGATCAATCGTCCTGACGCTATTAATCGGAAGTGGCACACGAAAGCAGTTGAGGAAACAAAGAGCGGCAAAGAAGAGAGAGATCGAGAATCCGACCAAGACCGAGAGCGAGAGTAGAGAAAGACCACTGGAAGCGAGAACGAGAGGGAAGACAGTCGAGAGCGAAAGCAAAGGAAAATGCCCTCGAGAGAGGAAAGAGAGAGAAAAAGCAGAAGAATACCGAAATTAATGCTCTATTTGCCGTCTAGAATCGGGCATAAAATTATTTCAAATTCTTTAGATTTTAAATTATGGAAATGATTATAAATTCTTGATTCCATTTGTAACCAAATTGATTCTAAATTATTGAAATTAAAATTTATTGTTGAGATGTTCCTGAAAAATAAAAACAAAATATTACTATTAAGCATTTAATATTTGGAACCATATTATATTATTAATAATATAATATTTTAATATCAAATAGTAATTTCAATCCTAAAAAGAAATAATAATAATTTAACCAAATTAACTTAATAAAATTAAACTTACCATCTCATCTTTATTTTAAAAAATAAAATTAAAAAATTACAAATATCTTTATTCAAATATTAAAAACAAAAACAAAAACCTTGAAATATCCAACATTTGGTAAGTCTAAACTAAATAAATAAATAAATTGTTGTTGTCATCTTCCAATATAATCCTTCTTTGTGCATGACTTTTGAATGGCAAAAAAAAATGTCTATGTTATTATCATATCAGATAAATGAAACTAGAAGTCTCAGATATCATATTGGATGAAATCCTCATTTTCAATAACTCATTGAATACATATTCAATCTTATAAAGGCATCGATTATGCTCTCCTAACCATAGCATTTACCTCTTGCAACATCACTCCCTATTAATTAAATAATATTAAATTTTGTTAAAATACTTTCACATATTTAAAAATTAGTCAAACTGTAATTAAAATATATAAGTATAAAGTACTACAGCTACTTTTTCCACAGAATTTGTAAGCATCTCTAATTTTTCTCCAATTAAATCAACTACAGGTGACTTCTTCTTATTGCGATTAGAAACAGATGAAGATACATATTCATAAAACCGTTCTCACAAAAACTTTCTAGATGAATTTCCTCTCATGTCATCATGTCATCTATATCATTGATATTCACGGATTCATATCTTTGTCAATGACATACATCATCTTTTGCACTTTCTGCAAATGTTCCAATTACTCTCTTTCTCAAAAAGTTATTTTTAAGATATCAAAGTTGTAAAATTGGCTTTCCTCGAACTTTTTGAGCTTTTGGATGAGACTCTCATATAACAAATAAAACAAATTTATAAGAAAAGTTAATATTTTTATAAGAAAAAAAACATACAAGTAGTAAATATCTAGACCAAAACCTCTTATATGGGTTACTCTGCTTCCATTGTTTATGAGATGCTATTCCAAGTAAAGCTACTACTAGGTCTAAAAACTTCAAATCCAATAGCTATTTTTTCTTTCAAAGTCTGCAGATGATTAATGATGTTATCCTTGGATAAATCCATTTTAAACTTTGAGTTTAAGGCTTCAATTGCAATTTGGTACGCATCATTTGTTAAATTTTTTTTGTAGGTTTTTAGCCTCCCACTTTCTGCTCTATCTGTATTTGTCCAATATCATATTTCACTGGCTGATATATATTTTTGGAAGTATGATAGATGTTACAATTACACTCCTAGACTTTCAATTGTAAAAATAAACACTTAAACTTTTCTAAATGATTAAATTAGACTTTAAACTTTTAAATTTTAGAATCAAACCCTTAAACTTGTATAAGTGAGAAAATATCCCGCCTAAACCTTCAATTATAAAAATTAAATGGTTAAACTTAAAAAAAAAAAAATTTTGACTCATTCCATTCGGTTGCATATCAAATTTTCATCGTTTGAAGGTATGTCAAAGTAACTCGGGGATGAGAAAAATTTTTGGACCCCAGAATATTGGAAATTCCAGATTTCTTATATGCAATTTGAAAATCGAAAGCCCTTTCTTTTCTTCTCATGCTCCATCAATTTCCCACATTTGCGTTTTCACCATTGTTGAAATTTATTTTCCTCCTCCCCTGTTTTTATTTGCACTAAACCAAAGCAAGTAACTGAGAAAATAAAATAACAGTAAGAATAGAGCAAGTAGAAGAAGTCAATAAATGGCCGGTAGGGAAATACGGCACAATCGGGTTTGGCGGTGGGTAACTACCGTACAGAGGCGACGGCAGGGAAAAGCAGGTGCCGGAGTTGGGCGGAGAAGGCGGCCGTGGGCAGTTCATGGGAGGAGGAGGGGAAGGCAGAGGTGACGACGAAGAGAGATACTGGTAGTTGGGATTCTCACAAGGCTGAAGATTCGTGTTAAGGGTGTCAAAAGAGACCACAAATGGCCGGAAAAATTAGCGGAAACTAGATTCGAGAGGGAGAAGGAATTTAAGTTTTAAAATTGAAAATTCAAGGTTTCAAATTTTTCTAAAAGTTAAAAAGGGTTTAATTTTTAAACTCAAAAATTTAGGAGTCTAATTTTATCATTTATGAAAGTTTAGGGGTTTATTTTTTATCATTGAAAGTTTAGAGGTGTAATTGTAACATCTACCCTACTTCAGGAGTGGTTTATGTAATTTACCTTATATTTGTTATCATTCACGGTTTTCATGATCTCATCTAATAATAGAAAAATATAAGTATAATAAGATGTTTAAATTTTATTATAAGTAATAAAATGTTATAAAGTAGCCATAAAAAACAATTACAATAAAATAAATAAATCTCTAATAATCAAATAAATCATCTTGTCATATATGAGGTGTAATTGAATCTTGAATTTGTTCATCTGTTTGTCCATCATTAGTTAAACTTACTGGACCAATGTCTATTTCACTATCCCTAATATCATTATCCAACTTATGCAATTAGTCTCCAGAATCAAAATTCATAAGAAAATTATGTATAATACAACACGCTATAATTATACCGGTTTGTGTCTCAAAACTATAATTTAGCTCAATCCCACTAGATATATGATTGGAAACCTCTTATTTAATACAACAAATGCTGTTTCAATTGCATTTCTTAAAGACATCCATGTCTGTGATTAAATAACTCTTTTGGAGATTGGAGAGCGCATGTTAAATACTCTTTTAGATGGTACCACGATAGGTTGTAATATATATAAACCCAGATCACAATATAAACCGCGCATCAACAAGGTAATATTATTTTATAAACAACAGTCATAAAATAATTTTTAGAATCATAATTTATGCTGAATTATATTAAATAAATATATATATACCTAATGGAATTCTTATACTATATTTTCTCTTGATAATGCATCTTCTAGAATTCAAGAGAATCCGAAGCAGATCTTCACATCCCAGTAACACATAAGTGCACCTTAAATTAAATGTGCATGCTGCTAAAACATTTTGTGTGGGAAAATTTTAGTCTCCTAAATCTTGATACATTTTCTTTTGAATCTTTTACATGCAAATGTGTTCCATTAATGACCTAAAAAACAATCATATATAATAAATATTTAACGGTTAATATGTTGGGTATTTCGTCCTAAAACTCGTAGTATGTAAACAGTGAACATTAATGTGAGGTTATTCAGACAAGTGTTGTTAAATGAAAATGAATTTGTTTTTTAATAACTCTAAATCCAATAAACTACGAGCCCTTGGCTATTATAATTACTACTTGGACTTTATGTGAAGACATAAACTGGATCAAGTTCAAATAAATAGCCTAAACAGTCTATACTACATGGATCAAGTTGGGTATTTTTTCCTGGAGACACTATTGAATACGGCCCACTTTATGATTGTTACAAATGTTGTAAGGTGTCATAAACGAAGTGATCCTGATTCGTTCATGTAGAAACATGTGAGCGGGGGTATTCTACACAATGAGATTGTGTAAGATTGACCCTGAAATAATCACTGTTACGTATTAACACCGTTTACGGATAACACTGATTAATTTCGTTTATCGATGACCTAGATAACTTGATCTAAATCCTGAGCCGTCTATGAACTCCTATTTATTCATAATTCTCCCTTGATCTGCATAGGTGAGAGTAAACTCATCAGCGCTGCTCATGAGATAAGATTGAGTAGATAGCTGGGAACATAGAATTAGCAAGACGGAATTCATTCCTACCCGATTTAGGGATAGTAGAGAGGTTGTTCCCTTAAGGGTTGATCCCGGGTCTTGAACAAGGGGCCCCATCCTCTCACTGGCCCGAGAGGAATTGGATTTAGTGATTTGATTCTAAATCAATTGTTCATTAGAAGGATAGTGGTACTTAAGGAGAAAAGATGAATAACTCAGGGTAAAACGGTTTTTTTTTTACCTAGCTGAGGTTACAAACGGCATGTGAAGGATCAACTTACCGATGATGGTTATATCGAATGGACACAAATATATCTACAGTGATGGGAGTGCATCTACAGGCTATAGTGGACAGTTCTGTTAGTTAATGAATGTTGATTAACTAAGTTAAAGAGTTTGACCGGTTAGTCTCGAATCGTTGGAGGCCATGATCTGTAGGTTCATCGGGTCTCCATGCTAGCTCATAAAGGATAAAATTGATGAACTAGGTGAAGCAAGAATTTGAAGTGTTCAAATTCGGTTTTTAGGGAATATTGTATTTTATATGAGATATAATATATAATTTAATAATTAATTGAGAATTAATTATATTGGAGAGTATGAATTATTTAAATTAGTTTTAAATAAGTTTAAATTAATCATCGGGTCTCCTTGAATAGCATTGGCTGCTATTCGAGGGTTAGTAATACATCATATGAATGTGAAAACAACTTTCCTTAATGGTGATTTAGAAGAGGAGATCTACATGACACAACCTAAAGGTTTTCTAACTACTAGTCAAGAAAATAAAGTATGCAAGCTTAAAAAATCTCTTTGTGGTCTAAAACAAGCTCCTAAATAATGGTATGAAAATTTTAATGGTACTTTGGTAAACAATGATTATAAAGTAAATTGCTATGTTACATGTGTTTACTCAAAATTGTTTGGAGCTGATTGTGTGATAATATGCTTGTATGTTGATGACATGCTCATTTTTTGTTTAAACTTAGATATCATTAATGAGACCAAGTTGCTCATTTCTTCACATTTTGAAATGAAAGATTTAGGAGAGGCTGATGTAACACTTGGTGTAAAAATAAGAAAAAATGATAATGGGTATTCCTTA